ATAAAATTATATAAATATTTGTTTAACTTGGAGGGATTACATGCAAAAGATTACAGAAGAAATAATAGAATACTCGTCAAGTACTCTATTCAAAGTTTCTGTGACAAGGTAAAGTGGCCTACCCTGAAATAGTAAATTCTAAATAAGGTTTTCAACTTTTCAAGCATATTACAATCTATCCCTCACTGTTACTCTGAAAGTTACTTGTCTCAGATAGACTCTAATGCTTTGGCTGCATTACATGCACTAATTTAGGCGGATGCCATTCAGAAAGCAATGGTACTTGGTTTACATTTAAGCATCTATACAAATATAAGAAAGTCATCATCATGAATCAAAATTCCAACAAGTAATTACTGAACCTCTACTATGTAATGGGCATATGAAATTGAATTTTAAGATAAAGCATTAAGAAAAAAGAAGTGAGGCCCCTGAAACTCTCCAAAGGACAGAATATAAAATAGAGAAGAAAACAAAGATTCTATTAGATCATTAGCTTCCTATGAGGCAGGGAAATAAAACAGAACAAGCTCTGGAGTCAGACCAAATTGGATTCTAATCTTACTTGTACAATTAGCGGCTGCAGGATCATAGACAAGTTGCTGTAACACAGGAATGATAATGCTGCATAGATTGAAGATCATGCATGAAGAGCACTTAATACTTCCTTTGCATGCTAGCAGATGCTCAATAAATAATGAGACTTTTTTCATTAATAGTGTTATTAGTAACATCAACTGCAAAATATTAACTATCACTGTAGTTAGCATATGAAAAGTTCTTCATAAGTGCTTGCTGAATGAATGAGCACTGAATGTAGCCTAAACTTTGAGGAGATATGCAATGAAGCTCATATGAAACAGAGACAAGGTTAAAACACATCCATCTGTCTCAATTCTTCTGAGAAGGATTTCTTAAAAAAGAAGTTTTACCCTTCCCCCTTTATTTCTGCCTTTGTGGTTGTTTGAATACTTTAAGAGCAACGTCATTTTTCCCAACTGCTAGCACCATTCCCAGAGACAGAGCTAATCTCTCCATTCTTTTATTAAATCATGAAACAGGATTATGATGTTCCAAATTTCTGCTTGCATGGTCCTAAGACATTCAGATAAGGTTAGCAGGGCAAATGACTGTCAGGTGCTTGAACAGCAACCCAGGTTTGGGGCCTGAGGATGCCAAGCTTCTGGGGTGAGAATAGATTCCACAGGTTTCCCTCAGTCTCTCCCTTAACCAGGCAGGCTGGCTCCCACTTTCTGCCATCATGGCTACTCTGTCTGAGTTCTTCACGGCATGTTGATACTCGTTCTGTCTTCACTCACTGTAAGACAAGGCACTGCAGTGAAACCGAAGTGGGAGAAACCGTGAACGGGTGGTTCTGCACCTGAGTCCTTGCTTTGTTCCTCCATAACCTAAGTCACATGATGTGTGATACATTTTAACAAGTTCTCAGTTTTCTCCTTTGTCAAAGGAGACAAGAAGCAGGTCACTAAGAGCACAGGCTCTGCAGTCAGAAATGTGTGGCTTTGTACCTTGGCTTTCCCATTTATGAGCACTGTAACTTTGTGCAAATCACTTAACTGCTTTTTGTATCTCACTTTCTTAATTTATAAAGTGGCAAAAAGAATAGCACCATAGACTCATTTGATAAGGGTTGATGAGGCAATATCTCTAATATACTTATCCAAGCATAAAGCACGTAGAATCTTCTTCTCCTCCTCCTCCTTCTTCTTATTACTGTTAGTATAAGATTATCCACTGTCTTTCACGCCTACATTTGTAATCCTCTATACAAGGACCTTAGCTTGTTTACACTGTAGTATGAAAGCCAGGAAGATGTGGCAATGAATTAGAGAACAAGGACAGAAAATACAATGCAGATCTAAAAGAAGTCAGAGGAGACAGGAACAACCAAATGTAGACTAGCAAAACAAAGTAAATATAATACAAAAGTAAGAGGGTTAGTACTAAATAAAGGTATCAAGTCCAGTCGGGATGCTAGAGCACTCAGACAGTAATTTAGTAACTACATATTTAAAGCAAGACGAGTTATATGAGTAGGCACCACTTTGTGTTTTGGAGGTATTTTTCTCTAAAACATGCAAATAAAATTTATTCAGTAACTTAAAAAATGGACTATATGATATTTCATGAAATTTTAGTCTAAATCTATAAATAAGATGTACACTTCTTGCCCCTTTAAATTTTCTGTGGGAAAAAAGAATTCAATTCCAAATTCTGTTAAAAAATTCCAGTTCAAACCAAATGACACAGTAGCCACATTAAACTATGATGCTCTGTGGAGTTAGTTTGAGAGTTTTGGAATTGGAATTATCTGATAAGAAACAACTCAAAGGGACGGTGAATACAAAACTACATAGATTTTTGGGAAGCTTCCCATCAGAGAATGTTTGTAGAAATGTACCCTATTTCTGTGAATTTGTTTCACAGAAATCTGAGAATTCCATTGCTTTAAAAATGACTGGATGGGGCGCCTGGGTGGCTCAGTTGGTTAAGCATCTGACTCTTGATTTTGGCTCAGGTCATGATCTCAGGATCATAAGACTGAGCTGCGTGGGGCTCCGTGCTCAGTAGGGAGTCTACTTGAGATTCCCTTCCTCCCTCTCCCTCTGTCCACCCCTACGCTCTCTCTCTGACTCTGAAATAAATAAATAAACCTTTTAAAAAATAATGACTGGAATCTAAAAGGAACAAAATGCAAATATTGTCAGTGCAAAGTGATATTAAAACAAAACAAAACAACCAAAAAAAAAAAAAATGCTCTTATCCACAACCTAATGTTCTTCCAGCACAGTACCTCAGAGACTCACAAGCCAGGGGAAAGAAGATGATTACATCTGAAGTAAAAAACATGAAGTGTCAGAAATCAAAAGGCTATCATAAGTCTATAATGTGTCTAGTTCATGGGGAGAGAAATTCACAAATTTGGCAAAGCATGAAAAGGGAGGGAAAGAATAATAACCTAGCCATTTCAAAATTAGTTTTTAAAAAATTATTTTCTCTAGGGGCGCCTGGGTGGCTCAGTCGGTTAAGTGTCTGCCTTCGATTCAGGTCATGATCCCGGGGTCCTGGGATCGAGCCCCACATCGGGCTCCCTGCTCCGCGGGAAACCTGCTTCTCCCTCTCCCACTCCCCCTGCTTGTGTTCCCTCTCTCGCTGTGTCTCTCTCTGTCAAATAAATAAATAAAATCTTTAAAAACAACAACAAAAAATTATTTTCTCTAGAAAACTAAATTCTTTGTTATTAAACTTGTTTTCCTTTTATACAATCAAAATCAAATGAGTATTAGGCAGAGTTATTAAGATCAAAAGTGGAAATATGTACTGATTATATTCCTTTTTTGCTAACAGTGGTAGTACTCTAAACTTGACCCATTTGTTCCTGATATTCTAAGATATTCATAGATATTCTAAGATATCTATGGATATCTAGTATCTAATAGCTAATAATATCACTGAGATATTCTATGTGTTTACTAATCTTCATTTCACTAAGAATTCATGGTCCCCTGATTTCTGTTTCAAAGGTAGTGTCTAAAGGTGCAGTGTTGTGCTGATGTTAATGGCAGTTATGATAGAATCAATGCGAGTCAGCAAGAGGAGGAATGAAGTGCTATGCATCTTATCTAGAAAACAGGTGGCCTGCTAGTGGTCCTAAATTAACTTAATGCTTGACATCACATATCATGAATCCAGGGGTACTCTGGTCAGGTCTCACCACTGTGCTAGGGCACTAACACATATTTTCTAGAGTATCCGTGACATTGCTAGCTAGACTTTTTAGCTGATCCACACAAACTTTAAGCTGAACATCACCACAGCAAAATTTTATTGGGAACACCACCACAAAACTGTGAAGATTTTAAAATGTCTTCCCAAATAAAATTTAACAACAACAACAAAATAACAGATATTTAAGAGACACAGCAGAGAGTGAAGATAATGGCCTCATTAGAACCCATCAACACTTATTTTTCTGTATGAATATGAGCTACTTTAAATTACTTTATACTCCCCTAAGTCAAAATGCAAAACTGTAAGGATCAGGAAAAATCAGAAAAGGAGACAGCCCACAGTATAGATTCCAGCATAAGCCACAGCATCTTTACTGAAATAAATTGGTTACAAGTGGGTCCTTGCCGGGGCAAGGCAGAGGGCAAGCACTTAAGACACTGTCTCTTCCCTGGGAGTGGTCTCTATGTTTCATCAAAAGAAGAACGTCTTGAGATTTCCAAGTAGTGTCCTATACAATCTTTACATTTGTTTATACTATACAAATATTGCAAGGAATATATTATGTGTACATAATTACAGGAGCTATTATACAGTTAGAAAACAGCATACTATTGTTTAGAATGTACAATGAAGTTTTTTAAAAAAGGTTTATTCTATTTAACACTCTTCTTAGCCTTAAAATACTATGTAACTTCCTAAAGATTGTTGTCTGGTCTACATCAAAACAAATTGTACTCATACTCAAAATTACCTCTGATCTACTGCCTGCTTCAATATGAGTCTGTTTTAACTTATGTTTTATATTTCATAGGATAGCAACAAAATAAACTTAAAAAAAGAGAATAATCAACTTACCCTCAATTATCATAAATTTGCAACATTGCCACTAACAAACATAGTTCAAACCTAGAAGCTTGACTTAAAAAGTCATTTTAATAAGTAACAGAAAAATTATTTAATAACGTGCTCATCATTTCTGTTCTTACTATCAAAGAATTTCATCAGTTTAACGATCATGTTATTTTTTTTTCCCATACGGAATGATAACCTTTGACAATGTGAAACATGAACTTCAATGTGAACTTGAATAATTGCTGTTTCGCTATAACTTGCTGCTATGGAGAACGTGAGCCATTCGACAGCTGACATCTAAACATCTGCAAGAATTGGGACTTTCAAGCCCTGCCATCCTTCAGTGAGTATCATCGGCTATTCACTTTAAAGCATTTCTGCAGACAAAGACCCACCTCAAGCTCAGGACTAGCAGCTGCTCCTTCGACTTCAGTAGCTCCCCCACTTTAAAACTGGCATAGCCCAGGAAGCTTCGCTGAAAATAAGAAAGAATGGTTTTCATTAACTTCAGAAGTCCTTAATATTTTTGCTGTCGCACAAATCATACAAAATTCGAAGAATGAAATGTTGACTCCATGAGCCTGACAAATATTTCACTTGCAGAGATAAAATTATCACTGACGGAGATACAATAATAGAGCCTTCTTGTGGGGTGAGGTCCAGGGGTGCAAATGTAACCTTTTCATTAAAAACAAAGAGACCAGTAGCCTGGAAGATAACAAAATGTGTAATACTGAAGCCAGGACTTTTCAGCGAACTAATTTTCTTCCCCTATGAAAACTGGGATAGAAGAAAAGATGATAAACTTTCAATATTTACCAATGCTGCCGTCGTTCTTATTAGAATTCCTCAAGTCACTGGCAGCAACATCTTTGTATTCCAGATATGAGCAAATCTGTTAGTTGGAGCTATTTTTATGTAGGACTCTGTACAAGTTATAAATAGAAATGCTGTATTTCTCCCCCATCACAGCAATGTTTAAAAGCATTTGTTTCCTTTGTTATTTCTATACTAGCATGGGACAATTTCATTCCAATACACAAAACAGAAAGGTACTTATTCTGTTACATTTTCTAAAATTGCTTTTTAAACCTATCATACTGGCTGTTGACTATCTATGAATATCTCCTTTCTACACTCTTTGACTCATAAGATAAAGAATAAAACTCTAAATTGGTTTTTCTTTTCCAGGATACAAATCTTTCATCTCTTTTTAACATTCCAGGCTGCTTCTGATTTAAAAGTCAAAATATTATGGTATACCATAAAGAGTATTTCTCGTTCTCCCCTCAAGGTCAAGAAGTAAACATGAAAATATCAAACCCATATCATCTAGGCCATTGCTGCCTAACACACTGTAACACTCTACAAGAAGTCAACACTACGTCTTCCAGAGCATTCTCTTTTCATGGGTCTGTTGCAGGGCTGCACTAGAATGAGAGCCTGGACTTCAGGGGTCTGAGGTCAATTGGGTCTTTTCAGCGAAAATTGTGCAGTTATTTCATACACAAAAGGCTGCAACCACACTTAGCGATTGTTAAGCATAAGAAAGACAAGCTTCAGGTCCATATTTTTCTCCTCCTTTTCAATTTAGAATTGTTTCAGAAAAACTTGGGCAAACATTGGAAATACAACTCAGTTCTAAAGTTGGAGATGCCTACACGTTAGCAAGCATAAACCCAATGAACTAACCTGAAACTCACAGAGCTGGCTGAGACACCAAATCACCTAAAGCCAGAACATGAGACTAAATTATCAGGAGAAGGACGTCAGGTGAAAATACTATTTGTGGCGAAAGCTCTGATGATACGTCAATGAGTGATGAAATGAGAACAAGTCAAGGCAGAAAAGGAAGTCCAAGTGCTATATGGACAAAGCATGAAGGAATTTAGGGTAACTTTTCAGCAAAGGGCAGAGAAGAGCCTGGGAGAGATCTGGCTGAACAAAAGCATTAATGTCACCTCATCAGAGATAGCTATTAGAACATCCTTATGAGCATGCTGCCCCATCTATATACTCTGCTAGTCTCTATTTCTTATCCTGTTGTATTTTTCTCTATTGGCACTTATCACCATATGACATAATACATATATATATATGAATAAATATATATATATTTGCTTATTTTGTAACTCCCTTGGAAATAACTGAGATTTGAAGCTCCACAAGGAGTTTATTTTGTTTTCTCACAAACTTGTACTGCTTAGTGCACAGTAGGCATGTGATAAATATTTGCTGACAATAAATGAATGAACGACTGGCATAAAACCTAGCTTTCAGGTTAGTCACTCTATTAGATATAGATATTAGAATGTTCTTTCTGCAGGTATTTACAAAGTACTGTAATTTGCTGAAACGTGGGAAATCAAAACAATTTTAGTGTGCGGATTGTGTATCGTTGTAGTGAATTTCATTGTAGGATTTTGTAGTTAAACAGATGTCTATCTCACTTCCTCTTTCCCTGATTATCAGAGTTTTTAAATTCCTACTCCACATTCTTTATCCTCATTCAAAGAAAACTCTTAACCGATGAGAGATTTCATGATGCCCCAAAATTTCAGATGATTTTCTCTCTGCCTTTTGAGATTTTGAAGGTATGGATGGTTTGGGAATTAATAAAACAAACCGCACATGTCATGAATGTTACTGAGGTCTTTTCATCAATAAAAGTGATAAATGCCCCAGAGTGGAATGAGAGACAGGTGGAGTGGCTATTTTCAGACATGAGCTACACACACCCCATGAGACACAGCTGCCTGTAGAGTTGTGACCACAGCCACTGAACGTCTCCTCTGTCCACCAGATCAGGAGCTGCCGTGGAAGCAGGACTCTGGCTTGTCCATCCCTGAGGCAAGCCCAGGGCCCAGAACAGAGGGGCTGCATGGTATGCCTACTGCCTCACTGTACTTCCTTGCAGCGGGCCAAGGACAATGCCCAGGAGTCAAACTTCTTCTATCATAACTGGCAGCCACAGGCTTCATCTCAAAGGATAGTAAGAGATTTTACAGAAATCATACGACTTGTGAAAAACTAATTTAGGTAATGACATTACAGCACTGCGTTATGAAAACATGTCAAACCCGAGGAGGTGTTATTTAGGTATAAAGATTGTCTTCTTTATTCTACAAAGATATATAATTGTATGTATAAAAATATGTATAATTGTCCCACATTGCAACACTAACAATGGAATTGCCTCTATATTTACTTTCTGGCAGGTGTTTTTGTATTTGCTTCCCCTCAACATAAATAAAACACATCACTCATATACATGGATATTGACTGGACTCCTGTAAAAGAATGAATTCGAGGGAAACAGTCTTCTCTGTTGCTGGAACCTAAGTCCCCACGGAGGGAAAATAGCATGCTAATGCTAATGGAAAAGAATAACTTAATATAAAGCTATTTTATCTTTGCTATCACTATAATCATAACCATGGAATTTGAGAGACATCTTTAAAAATTTTTATATTTCAAATGTAACTCAAGGAACAAGCTTTTCCATCTCTTCTTCAGGGCTATTTCTAAAAATCTCATCTTAAAATTCTCATCTTTAAACTGGGAGCTCTAATATCAGTGGAAAAATGTGAAAGACAAACCAAAAAATTAGTCTCCCTGGAGTTGGAGATCAGAGGTCTGGAGTGTCATGTTATTCTGTCCAAAAATGGAAATCTGGGCAATTAAATCACTTCTCCCAGCCCCCAGACTAGCTATCCACTAATGGGTATTGTCAGGCCTTGTTTCTCTGTCTTCTCTCTTACAAATCTGTGGTCTTGAACGAGTTACTTCACCATTCCCAGTTATAACTGCTGTAGGAAAAAGTTGCATGTGATAACTCTATCATTCTCATAGTTTTAAGAATCAAAGTAAGCCAGGCAAAGCACTCGGTACATGGTTGGGAAAATAGGAAGTTAAAAGAAGTTAACTGGCTTACACTTGGTCCCAGAACTAGTCAATATGCAGAGGCCAAGTTGGAATCCAGGTTTCTTGCTTTTCAGTCCAGCATTCTTTTATCCCCATTACACTGGGCTTTATTTCCAGGACAGGTGGCCATTCCCTCTCCTTCTGCCAGGCTCTCTGTCTGCGCAGCATGTGGCTCTGACCTTTTTTGCCTGCTCATGAGAGTGTGACACTCAGAAGGATCATTCTGGTGCAAGCACCCAAAGCAGAGGATCACTCAATGGCTTCCTGCACAATTTCACTCACTCACCTGGCTGAAGAGTGATATCAAGCAGGGCGAAAAAAAGTGGAGCATTTGCCTCAATCCCTGGTTGCTCTCTATATAGAGTGTACAAATAAACAGTTTATCCTACCAGCCCTTGCAGGGACTCTAAGCAAGTCACAAGTATTCAGAATGCTTCTGGGGTTGCACACCTCTCTGCAGCAGGCCCTCAATGGTCCCTGGTTGAGCTGTACTATATAAGGAGCCAAAAGATATACAGCCCTGTACACCTTGCCGTGAGCTGGCCAAACCTCCATCACCTATGTTCATCTCACAAAGCCTTTAATCAAAGCATAGGGTTCCTTTATACGACAATTTCTAAGAGCCTCCCAAGCTTTTCCAAGTACTGTCTAGAGCTGTACGATCCAATGGGTAGCCATTAGTTCAAGCACTGGGCTTGTGGCTACTCTGAATTGAGATGTGCTGTAAGTATAAAATACACATCACATTTAAACAACATGGTATGAAAAAAAGAGTGTGAAATAGAGTGTGAATAATTTCTTGTACTGATTACATTTTGAAATGATTACATTTTGTATATATTGGGTTCAACAAAATATTAAAATTCATCTTGCCTGTGTCTTTTTAATTTTTTAAAAGCATTGACTGCTAGAAAATTTAAAATTACATATGTGGCACACATTTGTGGCACACATATTTCCACGGAAAAGTGCTGGTTTAGAGGTTAAATGAATATATCAATAATACTTTACCTATTCTTATAAAACTATATACAGGAACTGTGGTACAAGTTTGAAAGGCCTTGGAAGAGCTGAAATTGATAGCATGAGGCTGATACACAACATTTCCTACATGTAACTTACAGGACAGGCCTATTTTTCATAGCCCTTGTACTTTTTCTTCCCTGTCAACCCTAACAGATATGGTTACATGGTTTCCCATCAAATAGGAAGGGAAATAAGACACATGAACTACTCACAGTGAAAAAAAAATAAGAAGAAAAAAAAAAAAGACTTGGGAGGAAATCTGTTAAAAGTGGACAAACAGTCCAAAGAAAACATTACAAAGCATTTTAGGGTAAAGCCATATATTTAAAAGTTACATATTTACTATGAATATACCTCAAAAGGTCTCAGCACAGATTGGTATCTGCTTCACTAAGACATCAACAAAAGGTTTGGGTGCATCCAATAGATGCTGCCTAAGAATGCAAAGAAATGTATAGAACATATTTGAACTATTTATGATAAAAAGTTTCAGCTCATTTTTAAAATCAGTGTAGTCAAGAGCTAAATTTCCTTAGCAGGTTGTAATGGCAGAGCCAAGTCTTGGCCAAGGGCTAAAACTCTCAGACCCCTTGGGCGCCTGGGTGGCTCAGTTGGTTAAGCGACTGCCTTCGGCTCAGGTCATGATATTGGAGTCCCAGGATCGAGTCCCGCATCGGGCTCCCTGCTCAGCGGGGAGTCTGCTTCTCCCTCTGACCCTCCCCCCCCCTCATGTGCTCTCTCTCTCATTCTCTCTCAAATAAATAAATAAAATCTTTAAAAATAAATAAATAAATAAATAAATAAAATAAATAAAACTCTCAGACCCCTTGTGTAGTGTCCAAAGAAATATTTTGAGGATTAAGTGATGAGATACATATTAACCAGGGGTACATGATAGGTGCTTAAGATGTGGCCATTCTTCTGTATCTAGAATACTGTGTACTCTGAGGGTATTAGAATGCCAAGGCATGTGGACTTGGATTTGTTCGTATTTAGGCTCATTCTTACTATGCTTGAGATTTAGGTCTATAATATAATTGCCATTTTATTGAGTTCTGATCGTGTCATAAAGTGTACTAGATTTTTACATATTATTAAAATTTATATACTATTGCAATTGTTTTTAGATGCCTCCCCCTTTCATTCTGGTGGTTCTAAAAAATTTAAGATGGTTGGCAAACCAAAATCATGGTATGCTTTCTAATTCATTCAATACATATATCACAATTTACTAGTTTCCAGGCACAAAGCTAGGGCTGTTAGAGTGAACAAAATAAATAGGCTCTTTGCTATCACGGAGTTTAACATGTAGGAAGAGTGTGCAGACATTACCAATATCTAATACCTATTTTGCTCACTTTTCATTACTAATAGCACCTTGATTTTGTTCCAATGGGAACTGACCCATATTCTCTTCTGCTTGGGGACTCCTGTCTTCTTAGTGATAAGTACATAGCAGTATACCAATTGAAATTTCCCCAAAAGTTACTGTTTCCCAGAACTGAAGGAACAAGATCAGCTGCCTTTTGTCCTTCAGTCTTCTTCCCACCTGGACTGTGATTTCTGAAGGTTCAATGGTTAGACTGGACAATACTCTAACAAAGGAGGAGCAGGAAGGTAGATAGAACCCGGTTGCTCGAAGTCATTTTTGAGTAGCTACAGCCTTGGGCAATTACCCCAAAACTTTTTCTAACATGAGAAAAATGAGTCTGTTACTTTTAAGCCACTGTTTGTCAGGTCACTTGCTTCTAAATGCATTCCTAACTGATATAATAGATATATCACAGAATGTCAATTGAGAATTTTCTTTTGACCCAGGAATTATAGCTGAGTCTTTGTCAAAGACAATATACCAAATGCACCATGGGATCAGTTAGAGAACCTCTAGTGCTTAGAGCTAGCAACCTTCTCACAATGCTTAAAAAGAAGCCAATTTAGGGGCGCCTGGTTGGCTGACTCAGTTGAGTGTCCGACTCTTGATTTCAGCTCAGGTCATGATGTCTCTGCTACGACAGTGGGAAAACAGCTGTAGACAATGCATAAATGAATGTATTCAGAACAGACAGTTGGTGAATTTGACCCACAGGCTATAGTTTACAGACCTTTGACTCCTGGGGAATCTCTTAATCAGTCCCAACTGGAAAAGAGTTGAGAAAGTGATATGTTTAAATGTTTCAAATTGTCCTATCATTAAGGGTAACAGCATTTTTTCAGTAATTACTTTTAAGCTGTTTCCAATTGACTGTAATGTAAAATTTTTAAATACAAAATTGCATTAAACACAATCTGTGTTCAATATTAAAGCTAAAAAAAAAAACCAATATGGACTACGTTACCATGGGTACTACTTTGACTTTTAAAAATTAATTCATGGGGCGCTTGGGTGGCTCAGTCAGTTAGGCATCTGACTCTTGGTTTTGGCTCAGGTCATGATCTCAGGGTCATGAGATGGAGCCCCGTGTCGGGCTCTGTGCTCAGCTCCCAGAGTCTGCTTGAGATCCTCTCCCTCCGCCCCTCCCCCCACTCATGCACCCACATGCACCTTCTCTCTCTCTCTTTTTCTCTCTCTCAAATAAATAAATAAATCTTTAAAAAAAAGAAGCCAATTTAGAGAAACTGGCCTATTAGTAACCATGACACACCCAGTTGATATAAAGGTGGTGTTAGAAGAGAGGGAAGGTGAGCGTTTCGGGAGATGCACTATTTAGGAAATGAGGCCAATCTTTTTGTTATATCACATTCAGGAAGACACCTCAAAGTCAGAGGAGTCTGGTCCCAAAACATCAATTATCGAGCTTGGGGGTGTCCAAAGCATCTTTAGTTCCACTACATTGGGGACTAGAGATTGTCTCTCCTTTGAAAATCACTGATGGTCTAGCCCCTGATGCTGGCAGGGCCTGTAGAAAGTGTCAGCAGAGAGATGGCTGAGACGAGAGAGGAAACGGGCAGGGCAGCCTGCACCTTTTCTGTGTGGCATGGCAAATACACGTGCCTTTCATCTGCGCCACGCAGCCCTGAGAGTGGCCGAACACGCATTACATGCTGGAAAAGTAGGTCTCAGCAGCAAGAGAGTGCAGGGTGAGCCCGGGCAGTGGAGAACGTTGAGCCAGGACAGATTCCCCATGGTGGGGAAATATGCCATAGGAAGGAGCCCACAAGGTCTCCAGAAATACCTACAGCCGTGCTCGTAAAAGATACAGCATTTCAGTATCTGCCCCGTGCTGACAGGCAGAGTTGGCCTGAGGAATAGCAAAACCAGCAGGAAGGGAACCACACCCTCACCGTGGGCAGGAACAGAAGGAACCTCTCCCTATCCCTTTCTCCTTGCCACCATATTGAGCAGTGAGAGGCAGGACCTGTGTGAGAATTGGACTCTGTGCCCCCTGCCACTACACGAAGCTAGAGGTACATGGATGTCTACCCTACAGTGGGAGATGATGGGAGGAGGGGGGGAAGAAAACAATTTAAAAACAGGGAAGAAACTCAAGTTTTAAAATGAATAAGATGTATTTCAAGAACTTGAATGAGAGAAAAAACAGAAATGTACATAGTTAGGCCAAGATGTCATTAAACCTTCAAGCAAGGGGGATTTAACACTGAGCAGTTGTGGGGATGAGCAGTTGGAGGAGGAAAAAAATTGAACCAGCTCATCTTTCTTGAACCTCAAAAATTAAATAAAATTCCTTATAAAGTAATGCATTAAGTTAATAGTTACAAATTTCAAAAGGAAGTAGGAAGGGTGTGATGACAGCTTGCAGTGGAGGTTCCAATTTGAAGGAACACATCTGGGGTGCTCAGAGCCCTGGGCCCCGAGCCCTGAGCCGGGGGAGGGAGGTAGGCGGGAGGAGCGCTGGGCAGGGAGAGGTTCCTGTGACCTGCAGCAGTGAAGGACCTGAGGCTGGAAAGAACTTGCTGGTCCCTTTGGAGAAACTAAGCTAAATGTACAAGAAGTTTGAAGGGACAGGCAGAAAAGAAAGTGTGAAAATTCACTTGAGTCAGAGACTCAACCTATCCCCAGGAAAAACAGAAGCTCCTTATAGGCATGAGAGAACACAAAATGCCCTATTCCTTCTCCTTCACAATCAAATGCAGAGATGGCTGATATTATTCTTCTCAGTCAATTCAACTCACGCTTTGGTGCATATATTTGAGAGCTCCGTTGGCAGGTTCAGATGGTGGCTGTTGCCAGTGATGAAATGATCGGTACATAGGACACTGCTCCACACATCAACTTTCGGAAGAAGGCTGTCAACTGCCTATAGGATTGCTGGGAATTTCCAATAGGCCTTTCAGTTGGCTCAGTCCCATGGCCTCTTTAGACCCAACTTATTTCTAGGCTTTTTCAACCTCTCTGCACAGATCCCAGGGACTCAGCCCGCTGGGCTCTCCCTCGGGAGTTGCCACCACCTACTCCCAGCTTCCCTAAGCAAAAAGCACATTATTCTCTTCCTGCTCTTCCAATTTCTAAAAGCGGTGGATGTGCTGTTCAGATGTGACAGGAAAACCTTTGCAGGATTTTGCAGCACTGGACTGCACTTTGGCGGCAGCTTCTGTTTGGACCCGCATTACAGTGTTGAAGCGGCAGGAAGCAGGAAACAGCACAGTCCCGTGGCTAGTTAGTTCTCTGCCTCCTTCCTGAAGTGGTAGAGCTCACCTCGGCAATTTCCCTAGCCTTCTGTTGGTCCAGTAACGTTGGCTCCAACTGGTTCTCGGCTACCTGCAGGGCAGTTTCTAGACTCGTCTCTAGCCAGCGAAACTAAATATGAATTCATTTGAGGATGATTTTCACGAGACAAGGAGTGAATTCCAAATAATTCGCCAAATATGTGACAGTGCCCCCTTGCATAGTCAACCCCTGTTAATTTCACTCAGTTTCCTTTGTCAGCTATCAGACAACAAAAGGCCAGGGAAAATCCAAATGATTAACTTAGAAGTGATACCTGTGCCTTTTGGAAACATAAGAAACACTTACCCCAACCTCTGGCAGGGGATCCTTATGTTCAGGTAGGACACTGGTTCGAACCTATAGAGAAAAACAAACATTCTCTGTGTGATTTTGAAATAGAAACCAGTGCAGAAGCTTCACACAGGTGCTGGGTGTCATTTCCGTCATCGGGCATCAATTCAGACTCTGGGGTTAATGATTACTGAAGGTACCTGTGTGTACCACCTGCTGCAGCACCGCAAAGCTGCGCTTTTATCGTCACTAGGCTACCTGCTTTTCCTAAGCAGACAGAAGTGCCAGGTCCTCACCCCATCACCCCTTGTCAAATACAGAGATATCTGGGTTTAAGGTGAATCACCTTTAATCTCCTCAAAAAGCAGCCCTCGTTCAATATTCAAGGGGAAGGAGAGAGTTGATATAGAGGAAAGTCATTCCATGCAAGCTCAATAAATATTTATTCTCCAAATGAGCACCAAAACCCACAGTCTTTATAGGATATCCCTCCCACTTGAGAGTTCTGGGCCAAATTGTCAGATACCATTATCTAAAATCATTTGAAAACTAATTCTCAACTTGGGGAGAGGGAAATAATATAAAATAATCAGTCATCTGGGGAAGCTTTTCATATGTTTGAAAGTGTTCCAAGTGAAATACCAACTCCTTAGATGGTAAGTAGACATATATCTTCTACTGAGCAGTGATCCTTAATCCTGGCTGTGCATTAGAGCTACCCGGGGACCTTTCAAACTCCTGGTGCTCTCTCCTGTCCCCAGATATTGATTCTAATGTACAGCTGAGTCGATGTTTCTCTATTTAAGAAAAAAAAAATGTTTCAAATGAAAAGAAATCATGATGAACTTTCTCACTTAAGAAAAAGCTAGAAAAAGCAAGAAACACATAAAACCTAAATCTAGTATATCTTAATTTGAAGTAAGGATTAGATAAACAAGTTAAATGAATACAGGGCAATAGATAAGCATACTCTGTTTAACTGGAGAGCAGAGGAAATGGGGGATGGATGGGAGAAAGGAACCCCAGAAACACATGATCGATCAATATTTTAGGGGGTTATTTTCACAAAATCCCTTTGGAGGTGCAACACTGCCAATCATAATTCTCTTGAAATCCTTTAAAAGTCCTGACATACCTGACCGTACCTGGTCAATTCTCCCAGGTTGAAGGGATACTTATAATACCGCTCATAATGTCAAAAGACTTGAACTAGCTCCTAAGGGCCTACTAATCTTTAACACGGTTTCCATTTCCTTGGAAAAAGCCTCAAGCCATGGGTAAAACAGTGCATTTTAACTTCCAGCTTAATGCTCTTTCTTTGTGTCTTTATGACAGATCCAGCACTATCACTTGCACAATTTGTCAGTCATTATGACTCAAAATTGTTCACCAGAGCACAAAATAAACGACAGTAGAGATCCCAACAGAGTAAACAACACAATTTGCAGAACACACTCAATTCAGGATTTCATGACAGAGTGCTCACTGGCTAAGAGCATTTGCAGTGTGGTAGCTGCATTAATGTTCTTTGGTCTAGAATGTTCAGATGTACCATTCAGTCTCATTATCTGAAAATCATTAGCTGGCCTCAAAGGATGAGGAATCTATGTATTAACAGGGGACTGTAATGGACCATATAGTGTGTGGATATATATGATCCATCTCTCTCTCTCTCTCTCTCTCTCACACACACACACACACAGACTATATACTTTCTCTCTCTATATGTGTGTGTGTGTATAATATCTCCTTATGTTCAGGTAGGATAGTGGGTTCGAACCTACAAAGAAAAATAAACATTTTCTGTGTGATTTTGAAACAGAAACCAGAGAGAAATGGGGGGGGGGGACTAGTTCTCGCCCTTATCCACAGCTTCACTTTTCATGGCTTCAATATTACCCACAGTCAACCACCCTTCTCTGGAAGCAGAGGATCCTCCTTATGATGTATCATCAGAAGGTCAATGCCAATGTAATGCTCCATCACAATGCCTATGTCATTCCCCTCACTTCATCTCAGCACATAGACGTTTTATCATCTCACACCATCATAAGAGGGGTAGGTATAATACAATAAGATATTTTCAGAGACACGCACATAGATTTTATTATGGTATATTGTTATAATTATTCTATTTTATTATTAGTTATTGTTAAACTCTTATTGCACCTAATTTATAAATTAAACTTTATTATAGGTATGTATGTATAGGAAAAAATACAGTATATGTAGGGTTTGGTATTATCTGTGGTTTCAGGCATCTACCGGGGGTTTAGGAAGTATCCCCATGGACTAGGGGGGACTACTGTATACACACACACACACACATTATATATATATAAGTTGTATATATACATATATAATATATAAAGTGTACATATATATACACATGTGTACATATATATGTATATAGTGAATATATATTCATACACATGCAATCCATTCACACACACACATATATGTTTATGCATCATTTTAAGAAAATATTTGCCATCCAAATAACACTATCCAAAGGATATGCTTGAATTTAGAAATAAAGTGAAAGAAGTCAGACACTGGTGGAGGTCGACATATATAGGACAGCATAAAGTGTATGTATATACACATACACTTTATATATAAACATATATAGTGATATGATATAATGTGTAATATAATGATGGATATAATGTTAAATAAGGTAGAATAATAAAGCAATTACTACAATATGGTCTTTAAATTGATATTGATTTTATCAGCAGAACACTTATTCCTTATAAAAAAATAAACTGGTACAGAAGGGGGAAAAAGATTCTTAACCCAAAGTCGTATACTCTGAAAAAACTGAAAGATATTCATAGACTAGTTTGCCATTTCCAATGTGTGTACATGTATGAAGAAGAGAGAGATAAAGAATGAACTGTCCTTTACATGATACAAGTATTTTTAAAAAATACATGTATGTCATATTTTCCTAAATCAAGGCATGCTTATAACACTAGCAGAGCTCCTGATTTAGAGGAATTGAAAAACAAAACTTTTATAAACCAATTTTAAATTTTATAAAGTCAGATTTTCAGGGTGCCTGGGTGGCTCAGTTGGTTAAGCAACTGCCTTCAGCTCAGGTCATGATCCTGGAGTCCTGGGATCGAGTCCCACATCGGGCTCCCTGCTCGGCGGGGAGTCTGCTTCTCCCTCTGACCCTCCTCCTCTCATGTTCTCGCTCTCATTCTTTCTCTCTCAAATAAATAAATAAAATCTTTAAAAAAAAATAAAGTCAGATTTTCATATGAAACATTTAAGACAGTCTATATGTATAGGTCTAAAACTTTTACACTTATGGTCAATGCTACAGATGTGTGGTATATAGGTTACACATTGATGGCACTTTTTCCTGCATAATATATATCCCTCATTACAGTGAACACATACTAGGTGGCAAACACTGGGTTTGCCAGTAAATAAGGTCCCATTCCTTCTCTCTGGGACTTCAGAGACTAGTGGGTGGGGCAAATATATTAATAAATCCAGTACATGTAATACAAGCTATTACAGAAATGTGAGCATTTTTCTGTGGGCATTCAGAGTAAGGAATAATTCAGACTGTGAATGTCAGGAGAGGCTTCACAGAAGTAGTCTGGGTTTTGAAGGATGAGTAGGAGTTTTAGGCAAGAAAGATCATGACAAAGCAAACAGGGTGTTGTATAATGGGCATGTGTCATGGAGTTGTAAAAGACCATTTGTGTTTAGGAAAGAGTGAGTATTCTGATAATACCATAACAGGGGGGCCTTCGGAGAAATGGCAAGAGTTAAATATGTTTGGGGAGAAAAGTTGGGGCCATTTGCTACCTATCATGTTATAGAATTGGGGCTTTATGCAATTCATAGGCAAGAGGAAATCACGTAAGACATTTGAGTAGAGGAATGACATTATCAGAGCCCCTTGAAGCATCCCAACTCTGCCCCAAGTCACAGTGGGAGAATTATTTAACCACTTTATGCCAGTTGCCTTTTGTCTTTATGTTGGTTATCTTTAGCATAGGGTTACTAACAGACCTCATAGGTTGTTGTAGTACCTCTTTCCAGCACTTGAAACAGTACCTGACACTGAGAGGTCTGTTAGGAGGAGAAAGGAGACAGTGAGAGAAAAGGGAAGAAGAAAGAGAGGAAATGAGGGGGGAAGGGAGAAAAAGAAAGGAGAAAGGAGGAGGGAAGAGACAGAGGAAAAAGAGTGGATAGAGACAGGGGATAGGAAGACTGGAGGAACAGGTCACTGAAAACAGAACAAAACAAAACAAAAACAAAACCCTGGACAGATTTAGAGGAGGCCTCTTGTTGAGGAAGGGATGAAGCAATGGCTGTCACTGTAACATTTGGAATATTCCAGTTCATGGGCAATGTCATGCCTCCTGAGATTTACTGGCTTTCCTTTGGAATTCTTTTTCCCTTTTTTGGTCTTATTAGCAATCCTTCTCCCTGGTTTTCTTTATCATACACCACCCCCTGTCCTTCCTGGAACATAAGAATGTCTGCCTGACTACACATTTAAAGTTCTTATAACTTCCTCTTGTCTAGACTTTTATGATACCAAATAAAGAAAGATCACTTAATAGAAGTGATCATGTAGATTATATATTCTGTCTTGAATATTTCTTAAGTTTCTTATAAAACCAATTCATTTCTTTTTTCATAAGCTCAAATGTCTAGATACTAAATTTACCTTGAAGAAAGGAAAAAAAAAAAAACAGGTAGCATATAGTGACTTATACTCAATCTTTCATAAAATCCCTATAGACTAGTTCATAAACTTTAATCGTTCCCAAGCAAGAAGCTACCCCTGCAATGGATGAATATAGCACTTCAATGCTCTAACCCAGGGAGGAAACACTCCTTATACTAGCCAGCCTTGTTACAAAGAGCATGGGTACTGCTGCCCGGAGCGTAGGAGGATGGTAGGGACTGCTGTATTCTTCATAGGTGAGAAGAATGCCAGGCATCGTTGAGTATCCAGATCCAGAGAAGGGGAAGGCCATGTTGCCATGACTCTGCGCACCAGGGTGTCCATGCCTGGCCCTTGTGCAAGTGCA